AGCTTAAAATATATATATCCCTTCGGGCAAATTTTCTTCATCGGCAAAAAGTTGTTAGCTAAACTTATAAACATTCGGGCAAATTTTCTGCCTTTATCCGAGGAAGACTATATTTTGAAAATATGACGATTTCGTCAAGTATTTTGTTTTTGTTTGGAATTAATGGGCTATCTGTGCTCTGCCCGCCACGAGTATCGAAACCCGATTTCTAGCGTTGTAAGTCCGCAGACTTTCAGAATAGGACTAAAATAAATGATGTTTTGAAAAGCTCTCGGTAATTTGCTCATTTCGAAATTCGGGGGAAAAAACTACCAAGAGGATAATTAAACACAAAATTATCAAGAAAGTCGTTTGACGTCACGGAAATCAGTAGCACCCTTTTCTAAATTGGCATCCGAAAATATCTATCATAACAAAAATCCGGCACTCTTTTATAACAGACGTCTGATAACGTTTGCCACGTTCACCTTCATTGCCTCATCTAATAATTTCCGCAAGTTAATACTTCCGAAAACTTTCAAAAGTCTAGTAATTCCTGATAAAGTGTTTGATAAATTGGTGACTGAAAGTTTGGTAATTATGGTGAGGAATGGAAGATTTCACTTTACTTCCAAATTACCTGGAAAGTAAATCAGTATCCCTGGAAATACAAAATGACTTCCGAAAAGCAAGACAAACAACAAATCATCTCGTAAGATTAACGGAAGAAATAATACACGGCTTTAATAAAGAACAATGTACAGTCGCATGATTCCTAGATGTTGTAAAAAACATTGGATAAAGTATGGCACAACGGACTCAAAGTTACATCTAGACGGGACTCTCTTACAGGTAGCAACATCAGCAAAATGTTTAGAGATTACACTTGATTCAAAATTAAACTGGATACCACACATTAATAGCATAAAAACCAGAATTTGGAAAAGAGCGAGTTACCTTAGCAACCTGACTGGCAACAAACAAGGAGCTTCACCAGAAAACATATTAAACATTTACAGAACATACATAAGAATAGGCCTGTATAACATGGATAAATGTATCAAAAACACACATCAACAAACTACAGCAAATACAAAACTATATTTTAACGAAAGCATATAGGGTCCCACGATCAACAAACTCAGTATTTTATTCTTATTTATGATGTTAAGAAAGGAGAGGTACTTAGGGCTTGGTTCATCATGTATTATGTAACTCTCTAGCTTGCTCATCAGTTCATTTTTATTAATATTTTTCTTATAATATTGAAGCTAGTTATCCAGGAGTCTGTCTGATAGTGTTGGCATGTTTGAATAGTTGTGTATATTACAGGACAAACAGTGCCACGTTAACTGAATCCTAGAAACAAACGTAGCTCTATTTTAAAGGGGTTCTGTATGTAAAAATATGATCATGTGTGTGTGTATATATGACTGCTAAGTGGAACTGTATTGTGAACATGGTCCAATAGTGCGATCATACATAAGTGAAGCTAGTGAAAATATACAAGTTAGTATTACCCCATGAATTGGACGTGGCACGAAAAGGGTATGTTAATTAAAACTGTGGACAATGGACAAAACATACTGTGAGTAATGCAACAACGTAACAAGGGATATTACCTAGGATTCAGTAACGGTGCAAAAAAAAAATAATTCCTGGGGAAGAGGTCAACGCTGAACCTGATCTTCCCTGATCCAAAACGTGGACCAAATCCCGATGAAGATTATAACAGAAGGAGGAAGCGATCTGAATAGAACTTGACCCCTCAGGTCACGCACAACGAACGAGTTCCCATCCAGATACTTCGGCTTCTGTTATTGTGATAGATTCTTTACTTTCTTTGGTAAGTTATAAATAGATTCTTGGATAGTAAAGTCACATGTCACGTAACTAGAAAACTTGTTACATGTCACGTACCTAGAAACCTGTTACATGTCACGTAACTAGAAACCTGTTACATGTCACGTAACTAGAAACCTGTTACATGTCACGTAACTAGAAACCTGTTACATGTCACGTAAACTAGAAACCTGTTACATGTCACGTACCTAGAAACCTGTTACATGTCACGTATCTAGAAACCTGTTACATGTCACGTAACTAGAAACCTGTTACATGTCACGTAAACTAGAAACCTGTTACATGTCACGTAACTAGAAACCTGTTACATGTCACGTAACTAGAAACCTGTTACATGTCACGTAACTAGAAACCTATTACATGTCACGTAACTAGAAACCTGTTACATGTCACGTAACTAGAAACCTGTTACATGTCACGTAAACTAGAAACCTGTTACATGTCACGTAACTAGAAACCTGTTACATGTCACGTAACTAGAAACTTGTTACATGTCACGTAACTAGAAACCTATTACATGTCACGTAACTAGAAACTTGTTACATGTCACGTAACTAGAAACCTGTTACATGTCACAAAACTAGAAACCTGTTACATGTCATGTACCTAGAAACCTGTTACATGTCACATAACTAGAAACCTGTTACATGTCACATAACTAGAAA